TTATACTTCGCTGATCCTCTCGGTCTTCCTCTTTGGCAGTACACCAATCTGTATAAACGATTGAACGAGAATTTTCATCAGGTGACTGAATTGATGACAAACTTTCCCATGCAAGACTCAAACTCTACCATGTGCGGTTCTTTTTGTATTTATATTGCACATTTGATTTTTGATAAAAACTTTAATGGTGATGCTTCTGATTTTGTTTACATAACTGATCATGTTTTGAAACGTTTCCTAACTCACATGCTTACCCATTAACTAACCATTTAATATGGTTGATTTATACATTTTACAATTTAATTTTGAACAATACATTCTTTTAGTAATTGAAATTTTACCCAATTGTTAACTGAATAGCAGTAATTCGAGAAGTTAAGCTTTTTATCAAAGTGAAAAAAAAAAGTACAAAATCGATCTATGGGGGATTATACCAGCAACTGTTGCCTCCTTTCAGTACAATTTCCGGACGGGTTTCGAAACGCCGCCTTTCGGCTGAGAGTCGAGCGCCATGCGTTTTCCTCTACTCGGACCCCAAGAAATTTTGTTCCACTTCAATTTTATAGTAACAAGTTAGGTACAAGTCTTAGAAATGATTGCAGCAAAATTAATGGGCACTTTTGGCTTTCATCAGTGTTCTCGTTTTTCAAGATCTTTAGACACTTCAACCTTTTAGCTCTTTCAATCTTTCTATAAAATCAAAGCTTTTGTCATAGATTTCAGACGTTTATTTTTCAGTCTCCTGTAGACACGGAAAATGGAAATGTCGAAATTTTCAAGCCAATTTCATTATTTTAGAGTTTTCAGTGTTTCGTAATTTTTCCTTATTTTTTAGCTTCATTTGGCTTAAAGTAATTTTTCATTCTTATTTTGGTCAAATTGATTATTAATTTTTGCCTAAATAGAGGTGGCGGCCGCCGCACTTGACGAACTTTCCTTTCTTCGAGATTCAGCAATAAAACATGCATTTTTGAAGGAAATCGGTCACCGCAGGCAACAGTTAAGCTACGCTGCCAAAATCTTGTGCTTTCCTATATACCATATAGTTTGGTCGCATATAATAGGTATATAACGCCATTTTACATGTAAACAAATCAATACCCCCAAACTTTAGAAGGGAAAACATGCACCGACCAAAACCTAATTCCATTCCCGTTTCCACAACGTTCAGTGGGAATACTCAATAATATACCGAAGTTTTACATGAGGACTATTAGGTATAAAACTATACATGGTGACAATTAGGATTATTACATAGTGACCATTAGGTATAAAATTATACATGGTGACAATTAGGATTATTACATGGTGACCATTGCTGATCATTTAATACATGGTGACCATTATGATTTATACCTAATGGTCATCCATGTATGACAACCCCCCCCCCCCCGATCCTAACGCACTATATGCATACTACTAGTTATCTTCCTTGGAATAGTCAAATATTTGATTTTGTTACCGTTTTTCAACCTTTGACTTTTCTCAAAATTTACGCTCTGAATTGAGCAGACAAACGAAAGTCCGACAATTTTATACAAACTGAAATCAACAAGGTCCTGCTACGAGTCGAAATTTAGACCATAGGGTGCAAAAACAACCAAGTTAACTCCGGGCCAAGCGAGAAGGAACCTGGAAGTTGTTTATGTTCAATAAAAAAGCCAGGTCAAATTCTGGTACGAACAGTTGTTTACGGGAAAAAAGTATAGTTCCTGGTTTTAAGATACTTGCTCTAGCAATTGTAAACATATTTGTATTACTGAAGCTTTGATACAAAGATCCCCTGATCAAGTCTAAAGGAGTCAGTCTTACTATAAGGAAAACAAGCGATAAAACTTCGCAGCAAAGAAACAATTAGTCGGACATAACCATCTTGAACTTCAATTTTAAAAAACATTGGGAGTTGCTGCTACTGCAGCGGAGCTTATCACTCTCGAGATCTCCAGTGAACCCACAATATCAGATTTCAGAGGGTATTTTTGAGAAAAGTCAAAGATTCAAAAACGGTAACAACATCAAATATTTGACTATTCCAAGGAAGATAACTTTTTGATTAAAAAAAGTCGGCGTAGCCTCTTATGAAGGAGAGCTTTCCACAATCCGTTCTATCCATTTAAAATAAATCTCAGATTTAGACGAGAAGTTTTTGAGATGACGGAAAAATTTGAAAACATGGGTCAAATATTCCGCTAGTGACTTTTTCGCAAAGGAGACCAGTCGATTATGCAAGCACACGGAAGTAGACAATCTTTCCATTGATATCCCATATAGAAAGGGACTAGCGGAAGTAAACAGGACCGCACATGGGAGAATGGGAGGTCTTTTCATTGTTATCCCTTGTAAAAAAAAAGACTATGCAACTACTATGATACTTGCTTGAATAATAAGAAAAAACCGTGATGTGGCACCTAAGCCGACAAAATTGAGCAGAAAAACGAAAGTCCGACAATTTTATACAAACTGAAATCAACAAGGTCCTGCTACGAGTCGAAATTTAGACCATAGGGTGCAAAAACAACCAAGTTAACTCCGGGCCAAGCGAGAAGGAACCTGAAAATTGTTTATGTTCAATAAAAAAGCCAGGTCAAATTCTAGGACGAACAGTTGTTTACGGGAAAAAAGTATAGTTCCTGGTTTTAAGATACTTGCTCTAGCAATTGTAAACATATTTGTATTACTGAAGCTTTGATACAAAGATCCCCTGATCAAGTCTAAAGGAGTCAGTCTTACTATAAGGAAAACAAGCGATAAAACTTCGCAGCAAAGAAACAATTAGTCGGACATAACCATCTTGAACTTCAATTTTAAAAAACATTGGGAGTTGCTGCTACTGCAGCGGAGCTTATCACTCTCGAGATCTCCAGTGAACCCACAATATCAGATTTCAGAGGGTATTTTTGAGAAAAGTCAAAGGTTCAAAAACGGTAACAACATCAAATATTTGACTATTCCAAGGAAGATAACTTTTTGATTAAAAAAAGTCGGCGTAGCCTCTTATGAAGGAGAGCTTTCCACAATCCGTTCTATCCATTTAAAATAAATCTCAGATTTAGACGAGAAGTTTTTGAGATGACGGAAAAATTTGAAAACATGGGTCAAATATTCCGCTAGTGACTTTTTCGCAAAGGAGACCAGTCGATTATGCAAGCACACGGAAGTAGACAATCTTTCCATTGATATCCCATATAGAAAGGGACTAGCGGAAGTAAACAGGACCGCACATGGGAGAATGGGAGGTCTTTTCATTGTTATCCCTTGTAAAAAAAAATACTATGCAACTACTATGATACTTGCTTGAATAATAAGAAAAAACCGTGATGTGGCACCTAAGCCGACAAAATTGAGCAGACAAACGAAAGTCCGACAATTTTATACAAACTGAAATCAACAAGGTCCTGCTACGAGTCGAAATTTAGACCATAGGGTGCAAAAACAACCAAGTTAACTCCGGGCCAAGCGAGAAGGAACCTGGAAGTTGTTTATGTTCAATAAAAAAGCCAGGTCAAATTCTAGGACGAACAGTTGTTTACGGGAAAAAAGTATAGTTCCTGCTTTTAAGATACTTGCTCTAGCAATTGTAAACATATTTGTATTACTGAAGCTTTGATACAAAGATCCCCTGATCAAGTCTAAAGGAGTCAGTCTTACTATAAGGAAAACAAGCGATAAAACTTCGCAGCAAAGAAACAATTAGTCGGACATAACCATCTTGAACTTCAATTTTAAAAAACATTGGGAGTTACTGCTACTGCAGCGGAGCTTATCACTTTCGAGATCTCCAGTGAACCCACAATATCAGATTTCAGAGGGTATTTTTGAGAAAAGTCAAAGGTTCAAAAACGGTAACAACATCAAATATTTGACTATTCCAAGGAAGATAACTTTTTGATTAAAAAAAGTCGGCGTAGCCTCTTATGAAGGAGAGCTTTCCACAATCCGTTCTATCCATTTAAAATAAATCTCAGACTTAGAAGAGTAGTTTTCGAGATAACGGAAAAATTTGAGAACATATTCCCCTACAGACTTTTTCGCAGAAAGAGACAAGTCAATTTTGAAAGCCCACACATGAAGTAGGCGGTTTTTCCATTGATATCTTTTGCAAAAAAAACTAGCGGGAGTAAAAGGGACCGCACACGGGAGAATATTCGGTCTTTTCAATGATATTCCTTGTGAAAAAAAAGAGACTATGCAACTACTATGATACTGGCTTGAATCATACGAAGAAACCGTGATGTGGCTCCTAAGCCGACAAAAATGAGCAGACAAATGAAAGTCCAACAATTTGATACATACTGAAAATAACAAGGTTCTGTCGAGACTCGAACTCCAGACCTTAGGGTGCAAAAATATTCAAAATACCTCCAGGCCAAGTGAAAAGAAACCTGGAAGTTAATGTTCAATGAAATAGCAATTTCATATTCTGGTAAGAACAGTTGCTTACGTGAAAAAAGTATAATTCCCGGTTACAAGACACTTGCTCTAGCTATTGTAAACATATTTACATTTTTGAAGCTTTAAAACAAAGATCCCCTGATCAAGTCTCAAGGAGTCAAAGTCTTACTAAAAGGAAAACAAGCGACGGAAACTTTGCAATGAGTCGGACAAAACCATCTCGAAGTTTGATACTGCAAAACTGTTTCTTGAAATTTGGTACTCGCTTAGAATTATGATCACGAGTGTTTTGATGGATTCATTGAAATTCTGTAATTTAGACGTGCTGCCTCGCCAGAACACTTAATATCTGGGGTAAGTACTTCAAGAGGATGAAAACAAAGATAACATATTTCTTTGTTAGATATACCACTTAAACTTTCTATAATAAGAAATTATCAAAAATATCTAAGTCACTGGTACAACTACCTTTCCCAACTTTTTGTCTGATTTTTTAACATTGGACCATAGATATTTTTAGAGACTTTTCTTCTAAAAAAGGTTTCAAATGGGACCATACTTTTGAACGAGTACCTTAAGTTTACTTACAATATATAAGACTATCTAACCTGCATCATCATTGAGGAGTGATCACCGCTGTAAGAATGCGACGACTGCATTTTTGATTCTGATGGTGGCAGTTGCATGTCAACCATGTTATTCATATGGCCTATATCAACATGGTTGGCTTGATCCATACCAGCGTGGTAGGCATGATCCATACCAACGTGACTCGCTTCCATATTTAGAAACGACTGTCGCGTGACATCAGTAGCTCAGGTTTTCATCGTATCTTGAAAAGAAAACAAGATTTAATGAGACTAGCAAGTTCGCCTCCAATAATCAATTGGCTCGCCAAAAACTAGTTGTTGTTCTGATCAAGCTTTCCAAGCAAAGAAATTTTGAACAAATTGAAGTTCAGCCATATCGTTAATCGGCTTGAAAAACTTTAGGTTTCACAGAATCAATCGGTTCCCAAAAATTTTCTAAGCAAACAATTCAAACTATGAAACTTTGTATTACTTCAAAATGTTTCATGAAGCAAATCGGATGGTGCAACTTAAGGTTTTTATGTGGAAGCTATTCAAGCAAAAAAAAACATTGCATTCAAGTTGTTTCATACAGCGAATCAATTCGCAAAGATTAAGACTTCGCTAGGCTCGCTATTTAAGCAAGGAAACTTTGGAAAAATTCACTTTCTTTCAAAGAGCGAATCAGTTGGCAAAAAGTTTATGTTTTTCTTTGTAAGCTATTCAAACTATAAAATGAAATATTTCAAGCTGTTTCACAGAGCGAGCTGGTTCGCAAAGGGTTCAAGTTTGTCTATGCAAGCTATTTAAAACATAAAACTTTTAAAATATCTCAGTTAATGCATAGACTGATTTGGTCCACGAAAAGTATAAGTTTTTCGAAGCAAAATATTGAGCTTTAACACTTTGTTCGCGAAAAACTTAAATTTTTTTAAGCAAGCTATTCAAGCTATGAAATTAAAAATAATAATAATATTGTTTTAAAAAGTGAACTGGATGGCAAGCTGTTTTTTCTGTTGAAGCCTTTAGAGTGATTTCCAGATTTTTTTCTTAGTTTTTCAATCAACATTTTAGATCGAGCTAATGGTACAAGGAAATTCGGAAAAACCTAAGCTATTTCCTAGACGAATCGTTTTCGCCAAAAGTTAAAGTTTTCCAAAGCAAGCAATTCAAGCTTAAGATATTACATGAAACAAATCAGTTCACAAAAACTTGTTAAAACAAGATATTCGAAATTTTAAAGCTATTGTTGTTGTTGTTGTTGTTGTTGTTGTGGATTCTCAGAAATACTTCTGATGGGACTGCTCCCAGTTCATTTCTTCTTAAAACGTCTTCCATACATCCCTGCAGTTTCGACAATCACAAAACAGTATCCATGTGCAAGGATTCGCCTCATTGAATTTCGCCATTTGATAGGTCCACATAAAATTCAAGAGTCTGTTTTTTAGCCCCGTGGGATTGAAGAAATCTACTGTTCCAGGTAGATGATTGGCCACCCGAGACAGCCTGAAACAAAACTCAGCGCGAGCTTTTTCTGTGCGGACTTTTTTAAGGCTTAATGTCGGGCCATCATTTTGTCTTGTATTTGAGGCAGACTTGTTGGTTAATAGTCGTATTTGTAAATCGTTTTCACTGTGAAAAAAGCTCGATAGGTTCAATAGATTGCATAGCTGTATGAACATAGTAAGGGGCAATGTATTCGTTCGTTTTAACAACGTTTGATAATCACTCTCATAACTGTTTGTTACCCATTTTAGCGCTCTTTTCTGGAATCGTTCAAGTTTTGATAAATTTGCGCGGCATATATTAAAACACGAAGATGCAAATGTTAAAAGTGGTAAAACCGCTGACTTGTAAACACCCAATTTTACTTTCTGTGAAACCCCTTTTGCCACATTTCTTTTAGCAAAATAGAAAATCTGATTTGCTTTTTTCATTCTCGCCATTAGATGATTTGACCAGCTTAGGGTTTTATCAATATGTACCCCCAAATCTTTTATTGTTTCTACTGATTCAAGCATATGCCCATTGATTTGAATTGAATTTGAGTTTCCTCGAAAAATCAGCTCTTTGCATTTGTCAGGAGCCAACTCCATTTTGTTTCCGTTCACCCAATTTTCTAAAGCCGATATATCTGATTGTATTTCAAATTTGGATAGGCCCGCCGAGAAAAGTTTTAAATCGTCTGCATAAATGAAGGGAGTAGTGAATTTTAGCACTTCTGGCAGGTCATTTATAAAAATGCAAAACAGTAACGGCCCCAGCAGAGACCCTTGAGGAACTCCACTTGTAACTAATTTAGAAGAGGATGATACATTGTCACATTTTACCCACTGCGTTCTGTTTTCAAGATAGCTCGCTAAGACTTCCAAAAAACATCCCCCTACTCCAATATTCGCCACTTTTTTCAACAATTCAAAATGGGGCACTTTATCGAATGCCTTTGAAAAATCGGTGTAATAAACGAGCACTTCATCGTTCGGATTTTTATCCAGCGCCTCGTAAACTCGTTGTAAAAATGCTAACAGATTAGTTACAACCGACTTCTTTTTAACAAAACCATGTTGACTTGATTTCATGTATTTTTGAAAGTGATCGTAAAGTGGTTCGTACATGCATTTTTCGAGCACTTTAGAGATAATTGTTAATAACGAGACAGGTCTGTAGTTTTTTATTTGCCTTTTGTCGTCTTTTTTGTGTATGGGCGAAATAGCAGCACTTTTCCAGAATTTAGGTACACATCGTAACCTCTTGATATTTTTGAAAATAGCATTTAAAATGGAGCTCATCGGTTTAGCTAAACTTTTCAAAAAACAAGGCGGCAGAATACGACACTTTGAAAAATACGACACGAGTTTTGTTCATAGACTGACTCGTTTTGCGATAAATTTAAGTGTTTTAAGAAAAACCCAATAAAGCTATGCAACCTTGAAACATTCAAGTTATTTCATAAACCGAATCAGTACGCAAAAAGCTTTAAAATTTTCTAAGCAAGCAAATTGAGCAAACAAAATTTACTCTTCCAAGTTACTTCGTGGGCTAAATCAGTTTGAAAAAAGTTTTATATTTTTCTAAGCATGGTTTTTAAGCTATGAAATTTTAAATTATCACAAATTATTTCAGACTGAATGGTTCGCGAAAAACTTTAAATTTTCTAAGGAAGCTTTTAAGCAAGGAAACTTTGTGACATTCGACCAG